GCCTGTGATAGTTATAAAGGCCAATGTAACAATACCACTAATCTAAAATGTGTCCAGCCGTTTGAGATACAAGAGGTCACAAGGGGACTTACGAAGGCACACATATAAAGTTTTAGTGTATACACTGAAATAGATTACCCTTCTTCCGAGGCACTCGTGTGAAAACAATAGGTTACGATTCCATCAAAACAATTTTCGTAACAGTGGTAGCATGTCTCGAACGAAATGAATGAACAATAAATCAAAGCTTCACAGTTTGTGAGTACTAAAGTACTTCGTATTGTAACGTAAGACAAACTGACTTAAATTTAGTTGCGTAAATTGCTTTCGTGATGACGTTATAATTACTTTTGCTCCACGTGTAACTGCAGTATTAACTGCATTCTCTCAAAATAAATATGTGTAGTGAATAGCACGTGTTTAAATAAAATAATCCATCGTCATAGTTGGGTGTTGGGAGTATGACATTTCCCCCATTTTGTCCCGTGGGTAAGAGGAGGCTATGCGATATCCCCGAAGGATCTTGTGGCTTCCGAAAGATGACCGAAAAGCGACATATCATCATACGTCTGATGCTTTGATTGTCAAAACGCCAAGCGTAATATTTAAGCCTCCTCTCACTCTCTCCTCCACTTTACTATAACGGGAGAGACCGATTATCATCTGTGGTCTTTTACGGGTTACGAGCAGGCGGAAGACAATCGTATTATCAGATGTCTCGCCTCTTTGACGCTGATGACAATTGGTGATCTTTATATTTTATGTCTAGATGGTTAAAATACTAGTCCTGAGTCGTAACATCTTTTATGCATAATCGGTTGTATGTAGTTTGGTAGCTTACTGTAACTGTAAACCGTACTCACTTTGTAGTAATTATTTGTGTTTTGATTATTTATATATTGCAACTAAATAACAAAGATGTTATTTTATAATTTTATAGTTTATCCAGACTTAGGACTGTCTACAAAAATTTGTTTTTATAATTTATAAATTACTTTCCTGTATGAATTTTTACAGAGTCGAGCGACGAGCGTGACATGAAGTGTATTGGACCAATCGTTTTACTAATGTTGCGCGCCTAAGTTGACGTCATGTAGTGTCAGGGACGAGAGCGGGGGGAACTTTCCAGAAAATTACATCACTAATCTTTCAACCGACAGCGCCATCTAGTTTTGAAACGAAGAACTAAGCTTCTAGAAGACGACACTCGTACTTTCGACGCCTTGCGCGTATTTACTTGAATGTTCTGGATGTTTCGGTACTAATGTGTATTTATAGGCGCTGCAAGGTGCGATCGGGGAGGTATTAAATTCGGCGAGACAAGCGAAGCCTCGGAGCGAAATAAAGTGAATCAGTGTGGTTAATTATTAGTGTTCTAAGTTTTAATTAGTGTAAAGTGAATTAAAGAGTTAATTTTGGTAATTCAATCGGCAGTTTTTAGTGTCACGAACCTCAAGCTCGTAACAATTGGTGTCAGAAGTGGGATTAAATCATGCCGATTTTACCTAAGGAGGAAACGGAGGGTGTCCGTACACGAAGTCAACGCCATCAGGAGACGGACCAGAGACGATTATTGGTGGTGCAACGCCGCAGACGTCAGAGGGCCAACTGCCAGCCACGGAGGCTGGCCCGTCAGCAGCTCCTACACCTGCAGCACCTGACTTAGGTGCTCTGATGGTGATGCTGCAGGAGCAGGCTCGCTGACAGGAGGAACAGGTCCGTCGGTTGGAAGAGCAGCTGCAGGGCGGACAGGATGAACAGGCTCGCCGACAGGAGGAACAGGCCCGCCGACAGGAGGAACAGGCTCGTCGGTCGGAAGAGCAGATGCTCCTCACGAAGGACCTTCATGCTACCTTTGGGAAAGAGATAAGGGAGGTGAAGGATAGGGTTGCTCAACATGACAACCGCCTGTCGGAATCTGAAACCCAAATCAAGGAAGCTAAAACCCAAATCGACCAAGTGAACAATCGGGTTGATAACGTGGTGGCTGACGTGAAGAAAACGCTGGACGACCTCAAACTGGATGGAACTACAGCTCCGGTAGTAGCTACTACACCTTCGCTACGTGGGTTCAAAGTGCCACCGTTCGACGGGACTTCTTCCTGGTCAGCCCTACAAAATCCAGTTCGAGGCTGTTATGAAGGCGAACGGCTGGAATAAAAGTCAGAACATGACTGCTCTCACACTAGGCCTGCGTGACCGGGCCTTAACAGTTCTGGAAGCTCTCGGTGAGGAAGTGACTTATGAGCAGCTCCTTGAGGCATTGAGGCGAGATATGGTGATGCTCACCTGGAACACGTCTTTCGTGCGCAACTTAAAGATCGCGTGCAGCGCAACGAAAACCTGCAGCAATGGGCTCTAGAGGTGGAGAAGCTGGTGCGAAAAGCATACCGGTCTGTATCTACGCTCATTGAAGGGAACCTGGTGCAGACATTCATCGACGGCATCCGCGAACTAGAAGTCAGAGCTGCTGTGAGGCTCGGGCACCACGAGACGCTTAAGGATGCCTTGGCCCATGCACTGGAGGTGGAAGCCGTACGGCAGGATCATCGTACCCATCGCGTCAGGGAGGTTGCAGCAACTACAGTTTGCGTTCGCAACAAAGGATTCAACCCTAGGTGCTATGGCTGTGGGGAAAAGGGCCATCTTCAATCCAGCTGCCCTAAGCGAACCCTAGAAAGGGAAGGTGAACGATCTCAGGAGGGTAATGCGGCCAACAGCACCGCCCAGCAGCAGCAGGGAAACGAGTAAAAGCCAGAACTGCGGGGCGGGTGCTGGTTGATGTTAAAAGAGCCCTAATCATCAAGGGCGAGGTCAACGGAATGCCGTGTAAACTGACCATAGACACTGGAGTCTCTCGTACCCAACTTATAAGTCAGTTCCTTGGGGACTCCGCATACAACTGAGAACGCATTAATTTGGTAACAGCCACTGGTCAGCGTATACCCGTCCGTGGAGAGAAGGAGATGGAGTTGAAGCTAGGCAACGTGATCTACCTGCATAATCATCATCATCGTGGCTGATATAATGGACGACTGCATCCTGGGCCTAGACTTTATGAGGAGTAACTGTTGTGAGATAGACGTTAAGCAAGGTGTTTTGAAATGTGGACAGGAGGAACTTTTTATGGAAGGTGCGGTACCAGGGAACGTGTACAGTATCAAGAAGATTGTTCTTTCACCGAGATCGGAAACGATTGTTCCGGTTAGTCCTCCTCGGAACGCTGGGCAGGCTCACCGTTGTGTACTTGTGGAAAGGATAAACAATGACCTTCCATGGAAAGTAGCTTGAACCTTGGTCAGAACCACTGACATCTCAGGAGTACGTGTGCTGAACCTTTGTGACCGGGAACAGATTATAGAAAAAGGCACGCTGGTTGGTACTTGTGAGGAAGTGGATTGGTTACGTCGGTGCCAATATCTATCGAGTGAGACCCCCAGGTCAAGGCGAAGAAGTTGTTACTCAAGTATGCCGATGTATTCTCATCAAACGATGCTAACATAGGAAAGACTGGCTTAGTTTAACACAAAATAAACACAGGAGAAGAATTGCCCATCCGTCAGCGGCCAAGAAAATTGCCGGTAGCACGTGAAAAGAAAGAAGAAACCATGATTGAAGGAATGGTGAAGGATGGTGTTATTGAACCTTCCTCTAGTCCATGGTGTTCACCCGTGGTGCTGGTAAAGAAGAAGGATGGCAGCATGCGGTTTTGTGTTGACTACCGCCGTCTGAACGACGTTACGAAGAAGGACAGCTATCCCTTGCCAAGAATTGATGACACGTTACACATGATTACAAGAGTAAAGTGGTTTAGCTCGCTGAATCTAAAAAGTGGCTACTGGCAAGTTGAAATTGACCCTAAGGACAAGGAGAAAACTCGACGGGAAAGGGTCTGTAGCAATTAAAAGTAATGCCGTTTGGGTTGTGCAATGCTCCAGCAACGTTTGAAAGGCTGATGGAACTCGTACTTACCGGGCTAATTGGCGACAGATAAAAATAACGTAATAAATTAATGATAAATAAAAAACTTCAGTAACTCTCATTATCTTCGGTGTCCATACTACTCTCCTAAAAAAAATTGTATTTTTAACCAAAAATATAAACATTAAATATAAAAAATAACCATATTATGAAACTTTATTAAAAACACAACGTTTACACTTAAAATAAATAACGATAACCCCACAATATAAAGAAATTTTATTTCATAAATGTTTATCAAAAAAAATTTCTGATTACCATCGGTTTTAGTGAAAATCTAAATTATAGTCCGCGTATTGGCGTGAATGTCACTATACCACTATGCCGCGCTCCGCACAAGTCTCAGCCAGCCAACAAACTTCGTAGAAGGTTCACGCCTGTTCTTGGAAAAAAAATATTTACGTGTAAAGTTTCGCGGGAGGTGATTATTCTGGAATCGTCCTCTTTCCTCTCGCCTATATTATTAAGTGAGTATTAATGATTTTGTTTAATATGTAGTTAATTATCAATTCTAGTGATTGCAGCCGTAATTTAAAGTAAGCACGAGATTCGTAATTTTGATATTTTTACGAAACAATAAGATAAGAATAAAAACCTCATTACCTACGTCCTCACTACCTTCGTTTACCGTCGTTTTTTTTTTTTTAGGGATGGTGATGAGGTCAAAACGATAACAATTAGAATCAATTTTACGTCAATTTATTATTATTTATTACAGTGCATTATTACATTACAAACCGTGTGGTCGCGAGTTCTAGTCCAACCCGTAGTTGAGATTTTTTTCCACAATAATACTATTACGATACAGTTATAATAATAGTTTAATTCATAGTAAAATAAAGAAACAATAATTTTTACTTTGTTTTTTGATGTAGCTTTAAGTTTGTTTACAAATAGTAAACTCACAAGCTAACCTTGTGAGTGTACTTTTTATTACTTTAGTTATTAAGGATGAGCTTGATATGATGAATACGAGCAATATCATATAATGTGTTGTTACAGATTATTAAGAACTAATAATGCCAAAGAAAGCCAGACAAACATTAGAGCAGAAACGAGAGTGCGATCTATTACAAAAACAAAGAAAGTATGCAGAAATTAAGGAAGATCCTGAAAGTATGCAGATCTGAAGGCAAAAGAAAGAGCAAGATACCTTAAAAGAAAAGAACAGAAAAAATAAGTAGCGCAAAAGATATGAAACCGAGACAATTGAGAGTTCAGAGGAAGAAGTGAAGAGTTCATTCAAAACGTCATTATGAAAAAAAGAAAGATAAAGCTATTCAACAGTTGTTAATAGATAATTCTCCACCAAATAGTGACAATGAAGTACATCCAGCTGAATAAGATCCTCTCACTCAATCAGCTCTAAGCCTCATACCTAATTAATATCTAAATCGGTTGGATTACGGTAATAGTAATTCTTGTCAAGGGTGCCTAAAGAAAATACTCTTCAGAGAAAGGTTCGTCGCTACCTGCATAAAAAAGAAATAGGCATTTTGAAACATGAAATAGAAAAAACGAAGAAACCGAAAGATGGCATTAGAAAAATGTTGTATATAATAATGAAAAATAAGAAGAAAAATGAAAATATATCGACTGAAGAAAAAGTAGAACAACTAGTAGAAAATGTTAATACACAAAAGCGTGAAGAAATTAAAGAGCGACTAATGTTTGGTGAAATACTTTCAAGAAATGTTGGAGAAGGGTATAAGTGCTTGAGGAAAAAGGATAAGAAAGATTTCTCTAATGTAGTTATGACGAAAAAGGAAAGTTTAAAAAATATAAACTCTTGACACAAACAAAAATATTTACAGTAAGAGATAAAAAAGAAAATAAGACCGCTAAAAATGAAAACTTGAACTGAATGAAAGCAACTAATTTTGGAGTTTTTGGACGATGAGGAGATGACTACAATTGCAGCTGATAAAAAATATATAACTAAAAACCAAATAAGGAAGCAGAAAAGATACTTAACGGACACATTGACTAATTTGTACAAAAAAATTACGCATAATTCGAATGTCGAAGTAACGTATCAAAGATTTTGTAAATATCGCACATTATGGGTTTATTATACTATTATATTATATATTATATTTATTATACCCAAAGGAGTCCAGTAGAAATACGTGTGCTTGCAAAGTTCATATTAATGTCGATTTGTTGATAAAATGTCTTAATACAAATAAAATACTAAAATAAACTAAAAATAAAAACAATCTAACAGGACGGCTGTTTTAAAAAGCTTAAGTTGCAACGTCTACGATGAAAATCCCTCATCATCCCTATCATTTAACTTAACTACTCAATATCATTCCCTTCCTTGACGTTCTCATTACCGTTTCATTACGATTTTTGATATGATAGTAATTTTATTGTTATCTATACAAGGAAGGCAGAAACCACAAAAAGTTGAAGGATTTTATGGATATTAAAGATATTGGGGGAAAAGACATTTACAATTGTCGTGGAATTTGCACGAAATACGCGAAACACTCGTAAGCTAACCGAGGAGAAGCGACATTTCTGCTGGGATGAAAGTTTCAATATCGCATTCCGGGACCTCATGGATCGTCTGTGCAAAACACCTATTTTGGGATACCCTGATGCAAGCAAAGAATTTATAGTTTACACAGACGCAAGTGATACTGGACTCGGCGTTGTGTTGTCTCAACGGAACGGTGATCGAGAGATTGTGATAGCGTACTTCAGCAAGTCGTTGTCAAAACCTGAAAGGAACTATTGTGTCACAAGACGCGAATTGCTCGCTGTGGTAAAGTCGTTGCAGCATTTTAGCAAATATCTTCTGGGGCAAAAATTTCACTTATGAACTGACCACGCTGCACTAAAATGGCTATTGCAGTTTAAAAATCCAGAAGGACAAGTTGCGAAGTGGATTGAACTACTGCAGGAATACGACTTGGAGATCGAACATCGTAGCGGGAAATCTCATGGCAACGCAGATGCATTCACAAGAAGACCTTGTCCTGAAGATTGCAAACATTGTACTAGGCAAGAGAGTAAGGAAGTGGTATCCGTGAGGATGCTTAGGGCAGACCACCTCAGCAACGAGTGAAAGGACAGCTTACAACGTGCACAGCAGGAAGATCCAGACATTAAGCCGATTCTGGAATGGATGAAGGTCAGTGCTCCCAAGCCCAAGTGGAGCGACGTCTCAGCGATGAGTTTGATCACTAAAAGCTATTTGGCCCAATGGGACAGCTTGCTGCTTCAGGATTGAGTTCTTTGCCGTAAAGGGAAAAATGTTCGGGGAGACAGCTGCCATTTGCAAATGGTTGTCCCTAAAGCTAAAGTACCGGATGTTCTACAGCTGTACCATAATGATTATTCAGGAGGCCATCTGGGAGTTAAACGAACTCTACTGAAGATCCGAAAACGGTTTTACTGGGTCCACTGTCGAAACGATGTCGAGGACTGGTGTCGCAAATTTACAAGTTGTGCGGCTGTAAAAGGGACCTCAGACTCGTAGTAGAGGTGCATTGAAGTTTTACAATGTTGGTGCACCATGGGAGAGAATAGCCATTGACGTGGCGGGGCCGTTTCCGGAGAGTGAAAGCGGTAACAAGTATTTCATGGTTGTGATGGATTACTTCACTAAGTCTTCGCCATTCCAAATCAAGAAGCTCCAACAGTTTCAGATAAACTAGTTCATGAAATCTTCTGTCGTTTTGGAGTACCTTTAGAGATTCACAGCGATCAAGGAAGGAATTTTGAGTCTCAAATATTCCAGGAAACTTGCCGAGTTATGGGTACTCATAAAACAAGAACGACTTCTTATCACCCGCAATCTGATGGAATGGTAGAACGATTTAATCAGACATTGGAGAGGTACCTAGCAAAAGTTGTAGACAATCGGCAACGAGATTGGGACAAGCACATACAACCGTTTTTGTTGTTATATCGAAGCGCTTTTCACGAAAGTACAGCAGTGACACCAGCTTTCGCAAACTTTGGAAGAGAATTACGGCTGCCTGCAGATCTGATCACCGGGATACCACCTGATGCCCCACGCAGTATAACCGATTATGCAAATGACTTGCGGAATAAAATGAATGACATTTATGAGCACGTCAGACAATCGGCCCAGCAAATGTCTGAGAAGATGAAAACCCGGTATGACCGCAAAATGAACAATAAAGGCTTCGACGAAGGTTCACTAGTGTGGTTGCACAATCCAGTCCGCAGCAAAGGTAAATCTCTTAAGCTTCAAGCTAAATGGGACGGCCCGTACTGGATTGTAACCAGGATCAACGATGTAACCTACCGGATACAGAAAGGCGCAAGAGGAACTCCTAAGATCGTCCATGTGGATAGCTTGGCGCGTTATTATGGGGTCGATAATGCTCGGGACGAGCATGTCTTAGGAGGGGGGCAGTGTTGCACGCCTAAGTTGACGTCATGTAGTGTCAGGGCCGAGAGCGGGGGGAACTTTCCAGAAAATGACATCACTAATCTTTCAACCGACAGCGCCATCTAGTGTCGAAACGAAGAACTAAGCTTCTAGAAGCCGTTACTCGAACTTTCGACGCCTTGCGCGCATTTACTTGAATGTTCTGGATGTTTCGGTGCTAATGTGTATTTATAGGCGCTGCAAGGTGCGATCGGGGAAGTATTGAATTCGGCGAGACAAGCGATACTTCGGAGCGAAATAAAGTGAATCATTGTGGTTAATTATTAGTGTTCTAGGTTTTAATTAGTGTAAAGTGAATTAAAGAGTTAATTTTGGTAATTCAATCGGCAGTTTTTAGTGTCACGAACCTCCAGCTACGAGCTGCAATTACACTAATAATTTGTTGAATGAAACGCTTACTAGCCAAACCAGTCTTCATGTCAGTTTCATAAAACTGGAAAGGAAAAACAATCCTTACATTCTGTTCAACGAAACTATGTATACTATTCTCAGCATGAAAAGCGGTTACTGAAATCGATTACGTAAAATAACGCCCACCCCTACCTGTGAACAGACAGCCATGGAACAAAATGGAGTCATGAATTATTTTACGCTTCTACCGCAGAGTAAAAAAGATAATTATTACTCATTCTTACTTTTGTGCAGAGAAGTGTCCTGTAATTTGAAATCATTTTATTTAAAGCAGAGAAGCAGAAAATATTTATTAAATTTTTTTTTTTGTTTAACGCAAAGTTTGATTATCTAATTTTAAAATTTGGAGTATAAAATTTTGCGCTTATCATCACAAATACGTTTATAGAATTAGATAAATTTTATGTATTTTCTTGGCACCCGTGCGTGTCACTTAAATAGCACTCAACTAGCAATAAATTTTGAACGTAACATTTTGCGAGTCTGGCGTTGTATCGAATTTCTGGTTATATATAATGGAGTATCAATTTTTGTGACACATAATTACCAATAAATTTTAAAGATCACATCTTTCCCATCATTACTCCTTGTTTTTATTAAAACAATAGTAGTACATATATAGCCAGTATGGACTAAACATCTAACAGGTACTGTTGGCGACGCATTGTTTCTTTTAAATGTAATATTTCATTGTTTTGTAATATTTTTATCTCAGGTTAAGGTATAGTATGGTAACGGTTATTTTATAAATTATGTGTAGGTAGATTTATTTACATTTGTAATAGTATTCTCAAGGTAGATGTGAATGAGCGACCCCTCGCCTGTAATCGTGGCGGGTAGTTGCCCATTCGCCGCCTTTGTGCACAGACATACGTTCAAGTTGTATCGCGCTTTGAAAAATCTTACAGTTTTTGTATTTTTCACTTCAGATAGCTACCATCACATTTATAGGATAAAATTTTTCTAACTTCTTCTGATTTTTACGAAAGCAATACATTTACGTTTAATTCAACAATCGGCATGGTCTCAATTTTCTGCTTATCAATTGGAGCGTCAATTTATTTAAAAGGCAATAAATCTTAAAATTATGAGTCAACAAAATTTTTATTCTACGATATAATATATAGTAACACTTTCTACACCTGTGTTTTTTAAATTCACCTTAACATTTAAAATATTGGCTAATAAATTGCTATGTGGCGGTGGATTAAAGAGATCCAAAATCCATTTCGTTCTTAGAGATGGCAATATACCATTTCGGTTACATCACGAATCATAATTCATAACCGCCTAAAATTCCGATGCACATAGAGAAGGCAACCTACAGGCCTCATAGGACAGATGCCATAGTGTCCACGCTTGGTAGATGAGTTGGTTATCGCAGTTTTTTATTGATTTAAGTTGTTATCAGGAAAGTGCTGCTGCGAATTTCCTGTTTCATTTCTTTTTATCACCTCTTACAATACGCACCATATGATACACGGTAATGATTATCTAATGCTACCAGTACACGACAACGCGATGTATATGAAATGTATAAATGTTAGCTGAAGTTCGATTTTAACCCAAATTATCCAAAACCGTGTCAACTTGAAGAAACGCCTAAAGCTACCTATATTAGTAGATTTACCTTAAAATAGTGCAAAATATCTAAAAGTGGAAACACTGCTCGAACACGGTAACTACGACAGTACGGATATTTTTGGAGGTGGTCAATTTTGTTTGAACCTGACAATTTTGACAAGTTATTTTATTTTAGAGATTTGTATACAACCAAATTGATACTATTATAAAGTGTTCAGAAAATTATTATTTTAGATTTATTTTTCTCGTTTTAAATAAATACTTATTAGTTACTCTGATTTTCCTTTATATCCCTGAATTAAGTAATTATATTTGTTGGAGTGTTAGAGAATGTATTACACAACTTTCTTTATTTTTGTTTGAATA